AGTCTACCGGTGACCTGATTGAGATGGAGACATCCATAAAACGAAAGGCAACAACTTATTGAACGAAGCCACAATCACCACATTTCATAGTTTCATAGCTATGTATAGCATCACTAGTACTTGTTCCAGCCTGCTGCTGCTGCAGCTGCTGCTCAAAGCACAGTTTCAAGCTATCCACGCCAAACATCAAGTAAAACTTCAGTGGATGTTGCAACAAGAAGCTCCAGGACTCCAGGAGCCCTGGCTGCGCATTAGGTGCAACATCACGGAACGACGTGTACGGAAGTGAACATTGCTCAAACATTCATTTTTGGCTAAGCTTCCACAAAAAAGCATTACGTTGTAGCTGCATCACATGCACTCGTATCTGAACATTCTTGAACAATATGTCGGCATCAGCCAGGTACTGAGCCCATAAACACGAAACGTCTATCCGTCTATTTGTTGTGTCAATGTGAAATATTCAGCGCGCATCAAATTTCCAGTTTACGATGTTGACGGTTGGGCGATACTAAACGTTCGTATATTCATACAACTCAGTACCATAAGTATTTATGCAGCATCACTCGGAAAACAAGCAAATATATGAACTATAAACACACACTAGCTATACAAAATTTAGAATACCGAAACAGAGGGCAAATACGGTGTAAATCGCACGGTAAACAAAATCTGTTTTCGATTTTTGATTTAGAAATAATTGCATCTCAGTTCGCAGGTTGCCAAATCTGTCGAACTGGTAAGAAAAAAGCCGTCACCAAACGGGACATCGATTTGAGCAGCAAGTGACAAGTGTATATAGCATACAACACGACAATGGTGAAAAAACGTTCATTGGCATTGAAATGTGTTCGGCTTCTTTAAAGCATAAAAAAACATTGGGCATTCGGGCTCCTTGCACAGGATTCTACGGGGATTACCGGTGATTATACAGATGGTGAGGTCTGCCCTGGTCGCGAACTAATGGTCCGTGATGATACAGATTGTGCTGACGGCCTTGATGATTTTTTTTGCAAGGCAAGCTCTGGTAAAGGACCTACGGGACCTACAGTTTGGATGTGACAAGAAGGGAGCAGGGAATGCATGCCAATGCTTTAGAAACGTATTCCTAACATGAGGGATTCCGTGTTTATTTGTTGGGGGATGGCATGGATTTGATTTCAACTCTGCACTACCTGTCACCCCTAAACAGCCTCAGCAGTCTCTGCCGCGCAGTTCAGCTGCCGGAGAAGGACGGTCAAGGGCACCAGCACTTTGTAGATGTCGAAATGAGTCTTACCCTTGTCTCCCAAGACTTGCAGCCAGAGGAAAAATGTAGGAACAACCAGCAAGAGCAGTTAACACGAGCATGCTACCAAGCCTGCTAGTTTGCGCGATTTTGGTTATGGAGAAGAAAGAAACATGCTGTGAATGCTTCCGGTGTGCTTTGTGTCTTGCCATGGGGATCCCACACCAAATGTTTGAATAGACGATGACGCAACGACAACCATTCGTTGCCATCGGGCTCTAGCAACAATCACGTCACATTCCATGACGATGTGTCAGAAGTACCTACCTATGCAGGCGCTCACATGCACCGAGTAAACACCAAAGACAGCTCATGTTACTCCAGCAGAAACATATCTGCAGGTCCGCAATAGGTTAAACCTCGGGTCTAGTAGCACCTCGATAGCTAGGTTCACAATCACAACCTCTGTATTCGCCAAAATGCAAACACATGCATGTACAAATGCAAACGCGTACTCGTATAATTATCTTCTCTGGTATACAGTTTCGTTCGAAACTTAACTGTGCTTGAGTACTTCTTAGGTCTTAGGTTGTTCACATGTTATTACCCATTGAAACTCATGTATTCGTGCATCTTTGTGCCCGCAGTCTGAGCAATACTTCTAGATGCGGTTCCCGTATGTCGTATTCGCTATACTTGTACCTGCCTATCGCTTCCAGTATCAAAGCATGAAACAACAAAAGCTGTTGCAATCTTTTCTTGTCAATGAAGGGCGCTCTCGACTGATTGATTCTTCGGATGGACACACATGAAAAATGCAGCTGAAAGAAGTTTGACCATATGCGCGGTTGACACCGTCCATTGATCTCCACGCCAAGTTTATCACGCCATCCTGTTTGCCATGTCTGTTTCCTGATAGTTACAGTGCCTTTTTCCTCTTGTTCCTGTTCATGTTGCTCGTGATAACGATGCTTGCAAAGAACGGTCTTCATCAAGTAACTAATCATTATGTCATAAGGGCATTTCGAAAGCTCTAGAGAACAGGTCACATGCTTCGGAACCAGCAGAGTGAACATCTTGCTGACAGCGTGGCACTGTCACAGTATGTCACAACGGATGCTATGATCCACGTTTTACGAAGGTCCACCATCAGTTTGTGTGGCAGCTTGTAGCCCGCGTTTACCTGGTTTGTATGAGCTGCTGCCACCAAAACACACCCTGTCGCGCGGTAGTGTTGGCGTAATACAAACAAGAAATGTTGTAAGAGCACAGTTGCTCACAGTTATGGAGACGGTTGTTGAATCTCACATGCACCTTCGCAGTTGTTTGCGCGCCTTCACAGTTGTTGGCTTGTGCTTGTCTCAATCTGTTTTATGTCATCACAAAGCTTACAGGGGAAAAGAATTATACATGTTCTCAAACTTTCTTCTAGCACCCTCGAGGTGTCCCGCAAACATCCCGTACCTGACCCTACCTGCAGTGATTGAAGTGATTCCCCTTGCTTGGTTGCCCCCAACGTTTCGCAGTGTTCGAGCGTGCGAGCGCGTGTGCGACCTCTTCGGTGATTCAGTACTTGTGCCCACGGCCCATATCCAGCCACCACTTCCAACGAGCCTTGTAAATGCAGACGGACGGGTTTACTGTAATTGTTTCTTTTGAGTAGCTACTGCAACAAAGCTCCAAGGCGACTCACCTCAGACTCAGACCGAAACAGGCTCAAGTCCCAAGCCACTGCTCTGTGCAGCACGAGCACAAAGCTCCAGATCGCATAGTTGCGATTTCTCGTGATGGTGGTGCAACCCATTGCCCCTGCCACCTTCGATCCAAACTTCGGTCAGTCCGGGGCAATGGCCAACGGCCATGGTGCTTGTTGACCAGACCAATGCATTCCACCATCCCGATCCCAAAACAGACTCTGAGCAGTGTTTTGCACGGTTTTTCAAAAATTGGCATGGTTGTCCCCAGCAGCACTCCAGCTTGCCCAATGCTTCCGGAGGATCATGTCCCAACAACAGGCTTTGTTTTTCCAATTTTGTCAACCAATGTTGCTTTCGTCGACATAACTTCTGAACTTTTTCAAAGGACACGGACAACACAAGTTGTTGGCGGTCTCGAGGTCGCTCTATCTTCCAGCTTTCACTATGTCACGCTTAAAACGGATCGGAAACTTCATGAAACATTATGGACAACTACAATGTTTTTGCGAGGCATCCCCAACAAATTGAACAACAAAATGTTTCATCAACTTCGTGATTTCCAGACATTTGGGTCAGAAAACAGGAAATTCTTGGCACCAGTTGGATAAGTTCTCGGACCCCAAAATGCTAGCAAGTCTTTGCAACTATAGTGCGGAAGAACATGGGCCAAAACCACATCACGTGAAGGAGAAACGCCCGGAGCTCCTAAAATCATGGACATCGTAGGGTTTCCAGTTGCTTTCGCAGCTCCAGAATTCAACAGCATTGGAGGCACCGCGGGCTAATGCTTTCCACGAATCATGTATGAGTTTACTAGACATGTAGGCCACAAGATAGCATATGCTTGAAAAAATTGAAAGCGGCATTTTGGAGCCCCAAGCCCTGAAAATGCATTGCTCCCATCAGTTTTGGCAGGTCCGGGACCAGAAGCACTGGCAATACTGTGTCCGACTTTTGGGTCACATTTAGCTTTTGAAACATATTGGAACGGAGCAACCAATGTCTCCCTCCTGTCATGAATGAAACGTCAGGACACAGGGGCGCAAGGTAGAAAGCTTTGAGAACATGCATTTTGGAGCTCCAGGGCCAAAAGGACCTTGTTAATAGACCAATTGTTCCATTCGTTAAATTTGGGTTTTCTAAAACCTGCGCTGCAAACTAGAAACTTTATACTATCAGCGCCAGATCTTTTGAACCGAAACACATGCCACTCACAAGAAGCTGAAGATAGCAAGATTGCAAGACCGCCATAAGCCGGAGTTCAAAGGCAGCAACGCCGCCGAGGATTTATGCCGCTGCCTAAACAGGGAAATGAGTGCGCAGTAGCAGTACAAAACCAACGTATTCATCAATTCCGGTAAACCGTCATAAAATGTCCTTTGCGTTTCGATTGCAGTTTTCACTCCGAGCACCCAAGACAGTAGTATTTACGCAAGATTTTTGTCAACTCGATCTCCAAGCAGCTCTTATGAGCTGGAGGTATACACACTTGCAACCTGTACCCTGAAGCCCTACAAGATCAAAACGCACGCGATTGCGACAGCTGCACCGGAAATTCAAATTGCAGAAAGAAGGCTTTTCCCATTCCTTGAATATTTTTCTGTTGTTGTTTCGAACCGTGTCCAAGATGCAAGGCATTGCAGGGCCATTGATAGCACCGGGCTTGTTTTTTTTGGGATTCCTGAGTCCGGGGTTGGGAGCGGTGCGAATAGTTGTCAGCTTAGGCGAACATCGGAACACCTGTTCGGGCTGTTTGTACTGTACCATGTTTAACATAGTTTTCTTTCGCTTTGCACTCGTATGTTTCTGGAACTCGGCAGCTTCCTTGCAAGGCCAGAGTTGCAGCCTAGCATTCTTCGATTTCCGGTTCAGGTTGATTGGTGTAACGGCCTGTTCTAACCAGTTGCCAGATTTAGGTTTCAACCGGACCCTCGCAGCCCGCAAAAACAAGCAAACATCAACATCGTGGTTTTGCACAGATTAAGTATCAGTTGTCTCATGTGGTGTACTCGAACCGGCTCCAAGCCAAAATGATATTACGCATGAGGTCGTTGCTGATGATTTGTTGACGGCCGATGGTGACCATGGTTGGCGGAGATGCTGATGATGACGACGGCGATGCTGCTTATGATGACATACTCAGTCAGGGTTGTGCAGCGCCGACCCTGTACGGAATTTGGAGCTTGTGTCTGTGTGGTTTGCTGGGTTGGCGAGGTGTGTAGGGCTTAAAGCTCTATGCATAATTTATGTAGCAACAAACTGCCAGGAAGCTTTCAACGAAGTCAAGAACCCCTTGAAGTTGGTATCCTAGTTACCTTTGCCTGATATCCTAGTTGTCTTGCCTATTCCTTTATAGTTATGGCCCCCAAACAAAACCCAATTCTAATCATTACGGCCACTGCTTTATTTAGGGACTGCACGCGGATTCCGTTACCCCATACATTGGAGATGATCCCAACGGTGGAGTCCCGAGGCCAGTTACGTGGCGATGTGCAGCCACGTCATCGCACCACCATCCTGGAAGTACCTAGGCGCGGTGGGGATTTGAAAATCTCAGAGCCCGGGTAGTAACCCCCACGCCACGTCTGTTTTTGGGCCGGGTCCCGTATCTTCAAGGGCTTATTGGCGAACTTCAATTTTTTTTCCCTCCCAAGCCTTAAAATGGAGCTTCCGAAAACTAAACCCTAAACCCCTAAACCCTAAACCCCTAAATGGAGCTCCTCCATCTCCGAAGCAACCATACAGATGATCAGGTCTCAGACGACAAAGCAGAGTCACAATTAGGAAACACTGGACCCGAGACCCCAAACCGTAAAGCCCTGAAGCATTATATACCCCACACCCCTGAATCCTAAAGAAACCTAGATATTAGATCCTGGAAGCTGCAAACGCTAAAACCCTAAACAGTTTTGCACTTAGCGAAAGATCGCCTTGAACACACTCCCTACACCCTGAACCCCACACCTGGAGCCCCAAAACCCTTTTTGCATAAGAAAGCTCTCTGCAGCCTTGTTTTGGCATTAAACGCTAGAAAGCGAAAACCTGAACCCTAATGCCTAAAGCCTTGTTGAACCCTCAAACCCTGAACCCTTCCACCAAGAGGTTGAGCCCTAAGCCTTGTTTCCTCAAGACCGTAAACCCTAAGCTCTTATATATTTTTGTTCCTTAAAGAGCTAGGTCTTTTGTGCCACAGGTAAACCCTGGACCACAAACCTTGAGCCCTCTTTCTGCCAGTGCCCTTCGGCTCGGCGATGCCTCCATGCATGGCTGCGGGCTACACCGGGCGCCGGGCCAAAGATTCGGGGGTTTAGGGCTTCATGAAGTTTACTTTAAACCCTGAAGAACCTACTTTTTAGAGTTCCTCATTATGATTTCCTAATATAAGTCCTTCAAAGGTAGGATCCGGTTTAAGGTCGTGTTTAAGGGGTTTCTGATGGGTGTCTGAGGTCTCTTTGCGGTTCGGTGTGTGTTTATGTTTTCTAATTGTGTTCTTTGGGTTTCCGAAAGGGTTCCAGAAAGAGGGTTTCTGGGTTTTATGGGTTTAGGGCTTACATGCGGTTTATGGGTCCAAATTATGTTGTTATTTTGGTCTGCTTGTGACTGTGGTTTGGTGTGTTTGCTTTTGTTGTGTGATTAGGCCGTTCCTCGTGTTTGTGTGCGTGTGTTTGGTAGTGATCTGGTTGCTCGCTATTTTGGAATCGCGCTTGTAGTTGGTTGTTTGCTTGCTTGTTTGGTGATGTGGAGCGTGATTGTGTTTTGTGGAGTGCTGCTTGTGTGTGTGTGTGTGTGTGTGAGAGGCTTGTGGATCAACGTGCTTTGCCCCTAGGTCCCAGAGTAGTTCCTTTTGGGAGTTCATAATTTAGAATCATAGGTACCCCCCAAAAGGAACTACTATGTGACCTATGGGTAAGCAGTACAAGCCTAGCTAAGCCCAAAGGGCACGATCTCCTCCTAGACTTCATGGGGATTTTTCTGGGTGGTTTTTGAAAATTAGGGTCCCTTTTTTGGGTTCCTATGATAATACGGCACCTATTAGTTAGGGCAGCCAAAAAAGGACCCAATTTTGACAACCACCCATATCAAGAATCCCCAGACCTTACAACCCCAAAGGTCCGAAAAGCCCTAAACACCCGGCATACCCCGTACACCCTACAACTTAGCTTTGGTTAGTAGGGAATGGAAGAATGGTAGTAAAAGTAGTCATAACTAGCTGTACCCCATTCCTCCATTCCCCCCTAAACCCTAAACCCTAAACCCTAAACCCTAAACCCTAAACCCTAACCAAAGGGAAGACAAGAAAAGCTTGAAGCCCTAAACCCTCCAAAGCCCCAAGTCCGGAGAAGGCCCTAAGCCCCTAAAGCCCTAAAACCCTAAGCCCCTAAACCCCTAAAGCCCTCAATCCCTAAAAAGCCGAAACCCTAAAACCCTAAGCCTAAACCCCTAAAACCCCTAAACCCCTAAACCCTAGACCCCAAATCCCTAAACAACCCCTACGTACACCCCAACCCCTAAACCCTAAACCCCTAAAGCCTACAGTCATACAGCGCAGCAGCGGAGCTCGAGACCGGTTTGCTTGGGAGCTGTGGCCCGCGATGGCGGCCTTTTCTCTCTCGATGCTCCTGGGCTTTCGGTGCGTTTGTCGGGAATTCATAGGGTTGTGTAGGATCCTTCAAGGGTTCGTAGGGTTCCTCTAAGGGTTCAACGGGGTTTAGGGGTTGAGGGGTTGGGGTTTAGGGTTTTAGGGCTTTAGGGTTTAAGGTTTAGGGTGGTTGCGCATGGTTTTTTTGATGTTTTTGGGTTTCAGATGCTTTTATAGGGGTTGAGGGTTTCATATAGGATCTTACATCGGTTTTGGGGTTGGGGGGTCCTTTGCGGGTTCTATTGTAAGGGCACGTTGGTTAACAAGGTTCTGGAGTTTGCTGATTTTGAGAAAGTTCGGGGTGTTCAGGATCTCCCGAGGTATGCGGTACGCTTACTGCAGCCCCCCATCTTCGGGGGGGGCCAAACGGGGAGGGTTTGGGTTTGAGAGCTTAGAAGACGTTCCCTTATTTCGATATTCGAGTCCCAGTTTTTGCCATCTGCTTTTCTCAGTCTGTGATCCTGGAAGCAGAACATGGGCTTTGAGCTCCACAACCGCAACCCTGGCAAGCCCTGAACTCTCCATGGAAATGTTTTATAGTATAAACCGATAACGCCGCCTACAAAGCCTTCTTATATGAAGCCCTTCAAACCCGAGACTTCGGATGGTAACATCCTAAATCTTAAGCCCTACAAACTCCAAACCCCGATCCCCAATCCGACAATTGGACCCAAAACCCTCAACTCCGAACCCTAAACTCTAAACCCCGAACCCTGGACCCTACACCCTGAACTCTACCTAGAGTCTCCATTGTAGTTCCTTTTTTGGGTCATCCAGTTTTATGGTTAGGACCCTATAATAGAGATTTTGGTTAACCAAAAAAGGAACTACAATGGAGACTATAGGTACACCCTAAACCGAATGCCACTTTATTTTCGTGAGCACAGGATGCCCAAGGAGGACCTGATCTGCACTGGCTGCGGCCACTTGCCTTGATTTCCGGCGTGGGCATTGCCATATAGTGCAGGGTTTAGGGATTTAGGGGTTATAAGGGTTTAGGGGTTTAGGTGTCATAGGGTTTATAGGGTTTAGGCTTGATAGGGTAAGGGTGTAATGTTTGGGCCTAAGCAATAGTAAGCCCCCCCCCCCGCTCGACCAAGACTTTTGGCTTGAATAGTCCGGTGTCCGTGACACCCTCGACCGGGGTTCCGGTGGCTTAGGGTCTGGGTGGCTCTGAGTAACTTAGAAGCGGAATTGGGGGGTCCCGGGGTTTGGCGGCTGGCTTGTGGAGGGTCTTCGGTTTTGCGCGAATGTGCGGTCGGGGTCTGGGTATCACGAAAAGCTCGAAACCAAGCCCCGATCACTCCAAGACAACTACCAAGACAAGAAACCCTTCATGTTGAAGACTTTCGCCTCCAACTTACACTCCCCTCCGCAATCGACCACGTCTGAGGCCTGGTACGGTATACAGTAGTAATACAGCATTACTACAGCAATAGTACAGTGATAGAACAGTAGTGCAGTAGTAGTACAGTAGTAGTACAATAGTAGTACAGTAGTACAGTGGTAGTACAGTAGTACAGTAGTAGTACACTACTAGTACAGTAGCAGTACAATAGTAGTACATCAGTAGTACAGTACGAGGGTTTAGGAAAACCCCGATCACTCCAAGATAACTACCAAGACAAGAACCCTTAATTTTGAAGACTTTTGCCTCCAACCTACACTCCTCTCCACAATCGACCACGTCTGATTCCTGGTATTGTACAGCAGGGTCATCGGATTCAACAGGCCCTCACATCATGTTGTTTAGGGTTTCGGATGTCTTCAGGGGGTTCTACACGGTTTCTCCAGCTATTTAATGCTCCGAAGCGAGCTAAGGGGCTCAAGGCTTTCCTGCGAATCCATGCCAAGCTCCTACAACACCCAAAAAAAAGTTCGAGATCCTATACAACCCAAGCCCTACACCGAGACACACAGCCCTCTAAACCGTAAAAAGACAAAGCCAAGCCCGAAATCCCAAGCCCTAACCGTATGAAACCCATATCCGAAGTTTTGAGTCCATGCCGGGATCCCATTATAATTCCAGGCATACCTGGACCCTCAAAGTATTTAGAAGAATAGTCTTACAGGTGTTGGGCCTTTTTTTACCAGGTATTCCTTAATAAAGGACTATTGGAGTCTCCGAAATCCGAAACGCAGGGAAGGATCCTTACCACTCTGGCACCGGCTGTTTGTGCCCGCTTGGCACTGGCAACTGGGTGCCCAAGGCTGGCTGTGCTTTCTAAAAGGGTCCCTCGTCTTCGTTTCCACGGAGCCCAGTACCCCTTACTGAGGCCTTAATGTTATGCTTTGTCAATTGAATAAAGAAACAAGCAAATGCATATATATATATATATATATATATATATGTATGTATATACATATATATATATATATATATATACATATATATATATATATATAAATACATACATATATATATATATGTACAGACATAGGTTTCTGAATCAACTTAGGGTAGGGTTTTCTTGGGTGTGGCTATCGGTTTTAGTGCGTGAGTCCTCCACAACACAACCGCTCAAAAACGCTGTATGGACGTCAATAAAGGAAACGGACAAAGTTAACAGGAAGGCCAGTTCGATGAGATCAGTCCTAATTCCATTCCCTGGCCAGTCGGACGCAGATGCAGCGAAAGAGGTGCCGGTAGCGCGTGGCTTTGCTCCAAACATTCTTCTAGCTGGCATATATACCCAGATGCCCCAAAGTAGTTCCTTTTCGGGATTACCTTATAGGGTTCTATATATGAACCCCAAAAAGGAACTACTTTGGGGGATCTGGGTATACGCCTTCGTGTTCAGACTTGAGGGGCTTAGCCTTGAGGGCAGGCTAAGGTTTTGGAGGTGTTGGGTTGAAGATTCATAGCTAGGACCTAGAGTAAGCTCTTATTCCCTTTTTGTAGGGTTCAGGTTCCCTTATAAGCCCCTTTAAACTAAAAAGGGCACCCTTTTTATTCGTAGGTTACTCTTAGGTTTAGATAGGATTTGAAAGTCAGGGTGCAGGCTTGTAGTATAGGGGGCCTTAATAATTGCCTATACTATTTTGGTGGTTCTTTATATTAACTTCAGTATAATGGGCCCCAAAACCCTATTCTAATTATTAAGGCCCCTGTAGTAGGTCTTTGCATTAGTATCAGTTTGAGCCTCAGACTTTCACTCGGCAGGGCAACATATGGGAGTTTCCGAAAATAGGGGATCCTAATTTAGTACCCTAATTAGTAGGATCCTTATTATAAGGACCCCAAAAGAAGGTACCCTCTATTTTCGGAAACTCCCATATATGGCTATGAAGGTAAGAGGATGTACCATATCTTGACACTTCAGTGTTGGGGGTTCCGGGTTTATGGTTTAGACTCAGGCTTGCTGCTTATAGTTCCTACAAGTATCGTATAGTGTCGAAACGATCTTGTTCTCCTCAGGTCCTTATAAAGCGACATCGAATAACAGCCTTGCAAGAAAAAATGCACATTTCCATGCAACAGCAAGCTTGGCCACCACCAGACGGTTTTGCGCTGGTACTGGTAGAAATTTCGTGGGTTTTAGACTCACCGATTCCCAGCCAAGGAAGTGCTGCCGACGACGGCGACGTCGTTTGCACCTGCGGGCAGCTACGCACACGGGCGTCGAAAGCCCCAGATAGGGTCCTTCCGTGCAGGCAGGAAACCCTTCATCCTTAGTACTGCAGGATCTCTAGTAGTATAAGGACGAGGGAATTGTTCAATCGGGTATCGCGGTTTTTGGATTCCCAGCACTTTCAATTCGAAGGGCGCTACAGCGACGGATGCCGATATCGAAATACGAATAGAAGGCTCATGGACCGCTTGGGATCATCAATTTATGGCTTCTGCGGAAATAGGTCCCCAGATTCTAGGCTCCTGACAACCACCTGCCAAACAAGCCTCCACTAAGTGTTACCCGCCAACACTCCGCGGCATGTCAGGCATTGCGGCGACGGAGCAAGGGCAGCTAGTGAGCTTGCCAAGTGATTTCGTATGAAGGCATTTGGACCCTACTTTTCAGAAGGGTTGATGGATTTAGAACCATAAACCTTCCCATATTTGAGTGTAAATACAATGGTGGGAAGCAAGAGCTTCAACATAAACCTCATTGTTTTAAGGCTGGCCTACAGTGCCTTGCATTGTGAACTTCAGGCTTTGGTGTTTCGGGCGTTGGCTTTTGAACTCAACCCCTGTACAGCTGGATGTTGCCAGCTCAGTTCTGGGTAAACTGTGCTTGCAACGTGGGCGGGGGTGCTAGATTCATGTTTCAGTGTTGCAGGATCAAACCTAATCTCCGAAAACCCTAAACCCTAAACCCCTAAACCCCTAGACCCTAAACCCTAATCTCCGAAACTCTACCAGATAATGGTCAGGCAGGCTGCAGTCGAGGCATGGCACTGAGGATACATAGCCCCCGAAAGTAGGTAAAATCATTGCCCAATACCCATAAAGGGCTATAGTTCTACATACTTCCGGGGGTCCAGGTAGGGTTTATGATCAGTTTAGGGCTAGAAAGAGCGCATGTATCGTCATGCTGCGGAGTGTTTCAATCAGTGTGACGAGGGGTTAACTGCGAAGCTCTTGCTCCGTCCAGCGGTGCAAACATACCTCCACCCGCTGATCGGTATCTTCTGTTTGTACGACCTGAACCATCAGCAAGGATATACATAGCGAGTTCTTCTGACTCGTAGTTTCGGCGGTTCAACATGATCGGAAGGGGCTGGGAGAATAGAGCGGTACGTAGTTCTCGACAGCACCAGACCTTTGAGGTCTGAATAAATCACCTATGGCCTCAGGGCCCAAACATATCTCGATCTCAGAAGACAGCCTAAAAAACCTTAGTCTTCTTATCAAGGCCGTTAGATGTTCGCGAAGATAGCATTCTTTGTGTTATCAAGGCTCATTGTCATACTGAGTCTTCGGAGGGTAAGAGGGCACGTGTCAGGAGGCCAAGATCCAGCCTCTTAAACCTTAAACCCACGATGGTAAACTTTGAGCTGTTTTCAAGAGACCAACAAGGGCTCACACAAGACGAAGCCCTATCCAAATCCTCAATCCGAAACAGGCAGTCTTTCTCTCCTCATTTTCATGGCCTAGTCGAGTCCCATCCCGCAGTGTCCACACACGGCAAGTGGAAAGACAGCTTTTAACGAGTATCCTTGGCCCTGTTGGGAACACCATGTTTTTTTGCTAGTGCTCTATGCAGCAGGCTGCTCTTTATGCATGTCGTTCCGCTACTACAGTCTAGGGTATCTTAGGGAGAGTCGGATGGAGCAAGCAGCTATGCCGAGGGCCCCGAAACTAGGCCCCAGTGGTTTTCAATGACTGCGCCAGTCTGCTTGAGAAGTGTGGAACGATACCCCAAACTACCATACTGTTTTTTTTCAATTTCTTGTAGGTTCCTACTATAAACCAAGAGTTTATGGGAACCCTACAAAACAATGTTTTCATAGTTCAAGCTACTCTAAGCCTTTTGGGCAGCTCGCCACCAAGGAGTATCAGGCTAAAGACTCTAGACATACTGCGGAGAAACTGTTCCCCAAGGGGTTTTGGGGTTTAGGGTTTAGGGTTTCTGGTTTAAGGGTCCCACGAATCCTAAGTACCTACATGAGGCATACTTTGCCAAACCATATAACGGTACTTCCTACTATAGCAACCCTACACTCTGCTTTTTTGTGGTACTTGGGACCCTTTGGGGTTTGAGACGCCCCGCAGAGGATAAGCCATTTACGTACCATGTGTACAGTTTTGGGGATCACCTCACCCTAAGGGTCCATGTACTCATATAGTATATACATTGGCCCTAAAGTACTCCCTATATAGGTACATTGGGCCCAAAGTATATGCTATGTGGGTACATGGACCCTTAGGGTCATCTGTGCATCGTGTAACTATCGCGCCCACACCCCAGCCACACACCAAACTCGGCTGGATTCTTCGGGTATGTTTTCATAGGGTCAAGTGAGAAGATTCCATAGACAAACACCACATGTCCACGAACCCATAATTCCGAAAGCCTATGCCCCAGAGCAGTTTGAAAGTTACGATGTTTGTGTGTAATCTTACACCACTCTGAACCCCAAACCCCAAACGCTAAACCCTTGTAGATCCTTTATCGGATCCCTTATAGGGTCCCTTCCAGGAACCCTGAACCCTGAACCCTCACTTTGCACAACCCGCACTCCAAAGACCCGGCACCTTCTCAAGCGGTCCTTGGTGTTTTTGGGAGATAACTCTCCTGCCGAAGGCAGAGCTTAGGAGAAAAGGCAGCTGGCTGCTACTCCCTAGGATGCCCAGTAGTACCCTTATTCCCTTTTTGTAGTCCTAGGATCTAAAGTTATCCAGTACCAAAAAGGGAGCCCTTGTTCTTCCTAGGTTACTGGGCATCCTAGATCCCTTAAAGCATCTTACTCCCCCGTAAAACCTAAACCTTTAACCATCTTCAACCCTTAACCCTAAACCTTAAGTACGCAAATCTTAAACCCTATCAACCTTATAAGCCCTAAGCCATCTAAAACCCTACACCCGCAAGCTTCTATTTTGGGAAGGTTTAGGGAATTGGGGAATGGGTGGGGGTGGGGATGCCGGGCCTGAGGTGGAGAGGCTTATTCGTGGGTTCTGGGGACTTCATGGCCTATAGTAGAAGCCAGAAAGTTGGAACAGTAGTATCGTCATGCACTTAAGGTTTAAAGTATAAGGGATCCTAGCACTAATCCTCCTAAACCCGTGTTCCAACTTTCTGGGATTCGCTATAGATGCCAGCAGATATTCGTGATTTCAGGATTTGTGTAGGGCTTATCGGGTCAGGGCTTTGGGGCCACAGTGCCAAGGCAATGTGCCACCGGGATTCATCGGGGTTGGCAGGGCTCGGAGGCTTTTGCAGCTTTCGTGCAGCTGATTTCTAGAGCCAGTCTGGGTCCGTTTGTGGGATTCAAGGCCTCGAGGGCACAAGGAAGGGCCTTGAGTGCCAACATACCTTCAGAATGCAAGATGCTGCGACCTACCGGCCCTTACTTGTGGGTGGTTGTCAAAATTATGGTCCCTTTTTGGGTCCCTATTAAAATACGGCACCTATTATTTGGGGGGACCCCAAAAGGGACCCTAATTATTAGCCCCAATTTGGACAACCGCCCTTTGGGCACTGTAGGGGATGTTGGGAGTCGGAGGGGTCACGCATTTCATCCGGCTTAGGTGCACCAGATGAGATTTTCCGAAAATAGGGGACCCTAATAGAGTACCCTAATCCTTATCATACGGACCCCTAGATAAGGTACCCCTGATTTTCGGAAACTCCCACAAACAGCTATACAGCCGTGAACTTTGGAACTGCTCTGCAGGATCGCATCTCAGAGCCCCTAAGGCCCTGTAGACCCTTGGAGTTCCCAAAAGGAATTTCCAAACGGGAGTTTCCGAAAATGAGGGGTAGCGTATTTTGGGGTCCTTATAGTCAGGATCCTACGATTTAGGCTGCTATATCATGGTCCCCTAGGATCAAAAGGGATGTCTCCATACATCTACCAGAGGGGCCTTGGGATGAGTGTGTTTTGAGTATAGGGTTGAGGTTAGAGACTCACTCAAGTCTGTCTAGTTGTGTGTCAACGTAAGCCCTTTTCGGAAGCTGGTCACCCTAAGCCCTGAATCATCTGAACATGTCTGCAGAGCCTATAAGCATGTATGCGCAAAAGCTAAGCGGTTTGGCAACCGCGGAAGATCAACCATAAACCTTAGAAGCTGCCCCCACCCTGTAATAGTGGTATAATAGGAATAGAATAGGGCCCTAATATAATTCTATATAATCCCTACAGTCACTATTACAGGCTGGGGGCAGCTTCTAACCTAAACCTCTAAACCCTGATCTTGGCTTTGAGGGTTCTGGGGGCCGACTTGCCACGATGATGATAGATCCCCTAAACCCTAATCCCCTAAACCGTAAATCCCTAAATCCTAAACCCTAAACCCCATGATGATAGATCTCCTAAACCCTAATCCCCTAAACCCCTCAACCCTAACCCCATGATGGTGGATCTTTCCGACCTCCGGCGCCAAGTCGCAGCGACACAGCAGAAGATACGAGAGGCGCGGCTCCCGAATTCAGCATGATGTCCAGATGCCTAACCCTGCGCCCTGAGCCATCCTACGTATGGGTGGTTATCAAAATTATGGTTCCTTTTTGGGTCCCCAATTATAATAGAGTACGGCACCCAATATTTAGGGTACCCAAAAAGCCATAATTTTGACAACTACCCATATCAAGCCCTGATCTGAACCGTAAAGCCGTGAACCCTAAGCCCGATCTCGCACCGTGCTTTCTGAGCTTTTGGATCCAGGTCCATGTACCCCCAGAATCTCTCCTGTAGCCGATCAACAAGTATAGACTACCATGGAACTCATAGAATCTGTTGCGGGCTACTTCTGCATTGCGGGTTTGGGGGGTTCATGGATTGCGGAGAAGAAATTGGGGCTCGTAGGCTGCGGGATTCTTCTCCATGGGCGAACCTTAAACCCGAAACCCCAAACCCTGCGAAAAAAAAACAAAAACTCTAAGCCCGAGTCCCCACTAAACTTCGCCAGGCCGAGGAAGTTGGTGACGAAGAGCAAATCTTGGACTTGATTTGCGAGCCTTGGTTCAAAACGGTGCTCATGCTGCCTTCCATACTCTAGCTTAGAGTGTCTGCTGCCATTTGTTCGGCTAACTTATACTTGGTGGCTGAGTGCATGCACCTTACGCTTTTTGGGATCCCCTTGTCACCAAAGAACTTTCGGGTTTTGTGGCTTGAGGGTTGCAGGATGTCTGGAACTCATCATGAGTTATGGTGGCTCGAGGATGTTAGGAGTTGCAGCTGTTTCGGTGTCTACCTTTAGTCTCCATTGTAGTTCCTTGTTGGGGTGACCTTTTAGGCTCCTTAATATACAATGGGTTAAACCAAAGAAGGAACTACAATGGAGACTATAGCTACTATACCCTAAACCCTAAAGATCCCTTATAGGAGCCCTTACAGGATCCCTTTAAAGGGACCCAAAACCCCTGAACCCTAAACCGGGTATAGGTAGGCATGGTTGAGGCTTTAAGGCACGGAGGATGTGGAGTTTTCAGGGCCTGAAACTCCTCAGGCAGCCCTTTAAAAAGGAAACCTTAGGGCATCCTTCAAATGAGCCCTAAAACCCTAAACCCATAAACCCTAAACCCCTAAACCTTAAACCCTAAACCCCTGAACCCCTAAACCCCTAAACCCTAGAAGCCTCCCCTGTGGGGGGGGATCCTTGAAAATAAGCCTTGCAGTCGGAGCTTCGGGTCCCACCCCCCAAAATCAGCTCTCCCTCGAGGCTCCATAGTATGGGTGGTTGTCAAAATCAGGGTCCCTTTTGGGCACAAGAAATACTAGGTACTCAAAAAAGGTGCCATAATTTTGACAACTACCCATATATAGTTCTTTTTGGGTGTTCACATGTAGAACTCTACAAGGTAATCCCAAAAAGGAACTACCATGGAGCCTATGGGTATTTCTTTGCCTACCCTATTTTTTTGTAGGGCCCCTGTAACTGCCATATTAGGGTTTATGATAAGATTTTACAAAGAAGTAAGGTTTGGTAGTTGGACCAAAGCGCCCCTTGCAGACAACAGCCAGCACTCCCCAAACCGGTTTAGGGTGAAGGGTTGAGGGTTCCTAAAGCAAACAACTGCCCTCTGGTACAGCATACCAGTCTCCTTCGGGGCTCTAGAAAAGGTTGCCTTTGGGGCATGTTACACCCGACACCCTAAACTCTCAGCCGCAGTTCCCGGCTCTCCTCTACAGGCCGCCAACCGAGACCTTCGGGAGGATCCAGAAAGTAGATCCCCTAATTTGGGCTCTGTACTACTAAGGGTACTTTGTAGGAACCCCCATTAAGGGATCTACTTTTGGATCCTCCCGGGGGTCTGGGAAGCTCATACACCTCGCAAGCCCTGAACCCTCAGCCGAACTTCACAAAAAAACAGACTCAAGGAGGCCAATGAGCTGCGGGATGCCCTGCGGAACTACGAGCATCTCGATTTCGAATGCTTTAGGATTGTTTTGTTTTCAGGATTTACGGGTTTATTGTTGGGGTTTCGAAAAAGTCTCTGGTTTCCAAGGGTCAGGGCTGATAATATGCTTCAGGTTGACGTTCCCAATCACTGTTACAAGATTCATGTACAATGTACAGTGTTGATGTCTTGGTATTCCCTGCTGGCCGTTTCCCAGACCCCCGGGAGGATCCAAAAGTAGATGCCTTAATGGAGGTTCCTCTAAAGTACCCTACTTAGTAACATAGGGCCCCAATTAGGGGATCTACTTTCTAGATCCTCCCGGGGGTCTGGATACTCTTGCTTCAATATGCATGAGCGGCCCATGGCGTCGTCGAGAGGTACGGTTGATGATATGAATAAGTAAATAAATAAATATATATATATATATATATATATATATATGTGTGTATTGCATTGCCCATAAGGAATATAAAATGATTCCCATAGTTTAGGGTCCTTGGGGTAATGCAGGATTTATGCCATCAACTGTACTTCTGCCGCAAGCTTGTTTCAAGAGCCTCGCGGCTGTGCTCTCCTGAGGACCTTCGATGCTCTCTGGGAGCCTGCATGGAACTTTGAATACGACGAGGCTCACCCACAAATCCCTCGTTGGGCTTTATTCTCTTTGCTTGAAACTCCGCTAAGCTAGCCTAAGACCCTGAACCGCTAAGCCCTGAGCCCCGAGATCCCGAAACCCTAAAGCTGGTCTAAGTAAGGTCTGATTGATATTCGTGACAGTGCACCTTTAAGGATATTGAGAAGGGAACCATGCTATAGAACCCTAACCCTGACGGTGCAGGGTCTAGATAGGATTCAATGTATACCCCTTAAAGGGATTATCAGGGTGATGCTAGGAGTAGGGTCTGTAAGGAAAGTTGATTGGTCAGGAGATTACATTGCACATGGGTTTATAACGGCCGATCGCCCCTTTCTATAAACCCCAAAGCCCTGCAAACCCTTAACCCCGAAACCCCTCTTCAACGCCCGAAAAAACCTGCTTAAGAGTTTCTCCGGGAGGCCCGCACAACATTGCAAACCCTGTGAACCATAAACAACAAACTGTAAATCCTATTAAGGAGTAGCCCTGGGAGGTGGTTTCGAGCCCTCTTCTTCGCAGCTGCTGGGTGCTGACCGGGCTGCTGCCGTGCGCCGCGTGCCGGAAGCTGCCCCTTGGAGAGCCGGAAATATTACATACTACATGGGGTACTACATGGGAAGTTCTCTAAAGAGTCCCAAACGTGTCAGTACATGGTCGCATATAAGATCATATAGTACGCTATGAAAAGAGAATTCTGCTACATGGTAGCATCGTACAAAGTGTAAAGGGAATTGAAGCAACAAATTCCTAGTCAGGTTCTTCGGGCCATGCTGAATGGGTCTGAAGCTGTTCTGCGTGGGATGATGTGGTGCCTAGTGGAATCAAACGGCTAGATGCAAAAGCTACGCAGAGCACCAGATGTGTCCCGCTTAAAGAAACCAGGATCCTCATTGTGATTGAACCATAGCTGGCAGCCCGTGGCAATCGAAAAGAAATATAGGTGCCGAAGTAGCTACTTATAGAATGGAGTCTGGGCAGCAGTGATGCGGTCCATTCCGATGGCACATTATTGGGGTCTTGAACGACTATGCCAACTAGAGCAGCCCCTATGCCAGCCTTTGCTTCTGAAGACAAGAATTGTGGCAGCTTTGCATTGGAGATGCAGGTTAGGATTTGACACCCTATAAACCCAAATGCATGTACAACCCCTAACTTAATCCCTAAAACTTAAACTCTCGACCTCGGGGTTTAGGGTTTGTGCTTGCCGTGTCTGACATGATGACGGTTTAGGGTTTAGGGGATGAGGGATTGGGGGGTCTAGGGCTTAGGGTTTAGGATGCCCGTGCAAGGTTTTTCGCCGCTGGAAGCCGTGGCTTCGAGGAGGACGGCACCAGTGGCAATAAACTAAACTTGTAGGCTTGCCCAGATAGTCCAAAACCCCTTAATTGAGGGATCTTGCTGACAGTGATATTTTACTTCACAAGTAGGAACCCGGATAAGAATTATCTAGGCCCGTTGGTTGCTTCATTCTGTTGTCAAGGATCCTATCCATAAAGCCAGGTATGCAAACAAGCGTACTGCAGTGTAGGGTCCAGGCACTATATGGGTGCCTGTCGAAATTATGGTCCCTTTTTGGGTCCTTATTATAATACGGCACCTGTTATTTAGGGTACCCAAAAAGGGACCCTAATTTTGGCAACTACCCATATATTCCTGCATCCAGCCGCCTTAACCACAGAGGACTCAGGCGATGCTAGTCGCTTCGGGAGCCGGTTGCAGAATTTTGGGCGCGTGCCGCCTGGCACTATACGGCTTCAAGGTTTATGGGAAATGTGAGAAGAGCCCTATAATCGCAATATATTTCGTAACATAAGTACTGTCGCTGTTATTGTTAAGTAAAGCTAAATCCTCGACCGCCCCAGAGACACTTACCAGAGGCTGCGCTCGGATGATGAGCCTCTGGCTGAGCTCCTCTGGAAGCGAGCGCCTTCGTCGCCTGCGGACAATCATCGGTGCGGGTTCTTCGGTTTTGGGTTTTGGGGGGCTCTTCAAAGTCAGCGGTGTTTTTTCTGTGGTAGGCGTCGTTTTACTGCGTTGCTTTGCCCTAAGTGTCCAAAGCACCCAATAATCAGGTACTCGGGCTTGGGATAATAGTTATGTAGGTTCCTTTTTTGGAGAGTGTATGATAATTAGGTACTTGGACCCTTAGGTTTAGGCTTGGGGTGGAAAACGGAAGGGGTTTTTGGGCTCCAAGGCTTCACCTGCGGCCCTTCCACTCCTGCCCGCGCCCGCGGGCTGGCGCGCCGTAGCTCTGGACCTTGGCCCGTGGTTCTTAAAGTTTGGGGTTGATCTGGGCGGGGTGGGCAAAGAAACCACAATGTATAGGGCTTGCAGCATTGACTCCTGCCCAGGCTTCTATAGTCTTAGTCGGTGGGTACCCATTGCTCACTTTGTGGTGAAGACCTGGGTGGTTGTCAAAATTACGGTCCCTTTTCGGGTCCCTATTATCATACGGCACATATTATTTAGGGTACCCCAAAAGGGACCATAATTTTGACAACCACCCGAATATTATGAAGACGGTCTCTGCTTGCCTGCCGAACCCAGCTGACCATCCACCTGCAGGACAGTCGAATCACCTACGAAGAGCTCGGGGCGAGAAGAGCAGAGTCGGTGGCCGGCGACTGGCGAGTGGACAGCCAGGACTCACTTAACATGCTGGTACGGTTGATGATATAAACCCTGCATTACCCATAATAATAAGGAAAATACCATAATTCCCATAGTGTAGGGTCCTTAAGGGAATGCAGGATTTATACCATCAACAGTAGGAGCCTCCTTCATAGTATCGAACCCCCTACAGGCCATACAATAATAATGTTTCGGTACCATACATCCAAGAGGACTGCTTTCATCATATACATCCCCTCCCCACCCTCAGATGTAATTTTGGTATAAGGCATACCCACAGCCCCCAGTCTGTCTAGGCATCCGCTTTGGGAGACTCGCCTCATGCATCTAGAATGCCTGGCTTCTCTAAACATATGTAAACTCCTGAGCCACGAAGTCGAAGTTGTCTGGCAGCATACAACTTCCTTTTCCCTCCATATGCCTACGACCCGGAGCCTAAACTCTCGCGCCCTAAATGTGAGCAGACTTATGCATGCGTAAGAGACGTTTTGTCCCCTGGAGCATGAGGACATTTGGACATGTAGAGCCTGGCTCCGGAAAACATAACTCCGCCTCAAACCGCAGCTTCCAATACTACTGTCAGTATGATTCTTATGTTACATGTTTATACGGGTGGCTGTCAAAATATTACGGCACCTAGTATTTAGGATACCAAAAAACGGACCGTACTTTTGAAAAACTACCCATATGTTTTTTATTTGAGTCTGCATTTTGCGAAGTTCTTCCGACCCTAAGCTGTAAACATCCCGAAACCCTAGAAAATTACTCAAGGACTAGAAGAAAATCCTAAACCCCGAAATCCTAAACCCCGAAACCCTAAACCCCTAAAGCCTAAACCGAAGGACTACGACGATCGCGATGACTTCCGGCCGCTCTTCAGTTTGCTCTTCTGCCTCGGTGCTTCGGCGGCAGCTGAAGACGAAGGAGGCAGGGAGAGTTTAGGGGTTTAGGGTTTAGGGTTAAGAGACTGCAGTGCCTGTAGTTTAGAGCTCGGGAGCTTTCGTGAGTTAAGGTTTGGGGTGTCAGGGTTTATGGAGTTTGGGGGTTCGGGCGTCGAGTTTAGGGTTCCGGTTTGATTTTTCGGACTTGATAGCAGACACACATAAGTCTCCACAGCTCAAGTTGGGAAACCAAAGACAATTAACAGGACTCCTAACTAGGCGGATCCTTACAAAAAGGACCCTCTAGGATGTTTGCGCTTTAGACCCTGCAAGTCAAGAGCACACGGAAGACATCTTGAATCGCCTACTTGCCTGTTAGGGTTATTGATTTTGTTGCATGTTAAAGTGCATTCCTTGGTCAACAGTCAACAGGCCTTGGATATCGGGAGCAATACACTTGCAAGCCGGCGAGGATTATCATGAACAAGCCCAACTTCCTGTGATTTCCTTGCGTTCTGGGTGCTTGGAATGTTCAGTTTAATCCGAACGCCTGTGATCCTTGTCGGGTCGGGTGTGTGTCGGTATAGAAAACGCACCCTTTTTCTGCGGAAAGGTGGCATCCTATTCCGCCACGCTGACGGATCGGTCCCACTGGCGCCTGGCAGCGGCGTGCTGCTTCCCCGAAGCCGCTGGGCTTGAACCCAAAGCTCCATCACACAATGTGGGTCAGTATAGCATTGTTTATAGGGTCTAGGTTTAGGGTGTCTAGGCCCCGATCTAAATACCTGAAATTGGGCGGGGGGGGGGGGGGGCGGGGCGGGGAAGTTTCCCTACTCGAAAAAGTTTCCTGGTAGACAGATATCCAGTTGGTTTTTTTCCACCTGAGGTGACAATTTCCGGTATCAGCTCCTTTGCGAAGCTCCGAACACGGTGGCGGCCGTGGCACACACGAAGGTGGGCAGTTGAAAAAAACAACCTCATACCGTCAACATACCTTTCAATATCAGACTCGAGGGCCCTATTGTATAGATAGGTCCCAGGAAATCGAATCCTCCCTGAGTGTTAGCGGGTTGTAACACTGTACCAAGACGGCCTCCAAGCTTCTAATCTGAGGGAGGGCCTATCCAATTGGGACCCGGCCTGAACCCTAAGTCCCAGTATTTCGTGCTGTGCTCGGAAGCTACGCAGGAGAACTGCCGGCATATTCTAAACCCTAACTCCTGCTGGAGGTGCTCTTTGGGCCAGGCTGATGCGATGCGCAACCGGGTGCTCCAGTCGGCGCTGCATATGCCTGAGTTGTCATGACTGTGACCTGGTCAAGAATGTGAGAGCGCCAGCTCAATCTTGAGGTATCCACCAACAGTAACAGTGGCGAGGGTGCTGCAAGAAGAACACTCTGTTGGGGTTTGAGGCCGTGGAGACGGGCCAGTCGAAGCATCTCCTTGAGAGCATGACTCGTTGCGTAGCAATGCTTCCGGTTCCGGTAGCCGGTAGCTGTGGCCTGCGGGCATAATTATTGTCCTGTCTGTGTACGCTTTTTGGCGTCCTGGGATTTGCAGGGCTTGTCCACGGCCTGGCTGAGATGGATTGAGAAGGGGGCCGAGGAGGAAGATGATGGAACGCTACGAGAGACATCTACGACACCTGGCGCACTTCCTGGCCATGGATGGTAGTACTATTTCTCCTGCATCGCATGCAACAGCTGCTGGACTTTACTACTGCACTGCCGTCCAGTTTTGCGTGAGGTACATGCAACATCTCTCCGCATGGCAACTTGAAGGCCGACAGCAGAAACAATCGTTTCTGGTGTTCTTCATCTTAGCAGGGATTTATAAGGGTACTATGAGGGATCTATAAGTCTATAAGGGTACTATAAGGGACCTATAAGGGTTGCTATAAGGGATCTATAAGAGTTACTATAAGGGATCTATAAGGGATCTATAAGAGTATATATTGCGACATGCTGGGGCATGACTGAGGGCCTGCATGGCTGAGGTATGGCCGGTCCGATTGGGACATATTGGGAACTCGAGCCCCAGAAATCCAGCGCTGCTGTCGAAAGACCAGATGCCCAACATCCTGCCTAGGGATACTGACACCGCCGATGCGATGGATGAAAAAGTGCTGAGGATCAGTAGCACTGCAGCTTCTGAAGGAATAGGCAACTTAGTCTACGGTTGATTTCTTGCCTCAGCAGCTTTGGTTCGGAGCCTCCTTCGAGCATTTGACATTCATGTAATATTAAGTAATATTCATTTGATTATGGTTTAGGGTTCAGGGGTTGTGGGTTAGGGGTTTATCCCATTGAATTACAGACCCCCTCATGTTACTGGACATTTGCCCCAGGTGCTTTCAGACGTACACCGGCTGGCTGGCGTGACCCTGCAAAAATTCCTTGAGGGTGATTCCTGCTTGGTAGCTGTCTACGTACTGATTTCAGGCTTTTGTCCTCCGTCCACTGGACCCTTTATCCTTCCGCCAATGTTCGCCAAACGGCAAACCTGATCTACAGCTCTTGTAGCATGACACACATGTCGATGCCAGGTACTCTTTCTTGGCACAGGCCATCCAGCTGAATGTTTCGCCCTTATCATATCTCGATTGTTTTGAGATTGGCATTGCTCTGTACCCGGCTTCAACAGTCCTAAGCTTGACCTAAACCCCGGATGCTTCAAACTCCTTACCCCCATAAATCCTGCACCCCTAAAGCTAAACGGTTGGAAAGCCCTAAGCCAAGAGCCTTGCAATCTGTAACTCCACCTGGTGTGGTTTCCTTCGAGGATGATCAACTGCAGGTTTCTATCCTCTCCTAGCTTATCCGTCACTCCTGCTCAGGCACTCGAACGCCGGTATCAGAATGAAGAGCGCATATTGACACGCCTGCTCTGTTAATTGAGACTGAGTGTCTGAGCCTCGATCCCAGTATCCCGAGGTCATGTTGTTCATGTTCAATGTCTTCTTCCCGATGTACCCTATGGCACCTCGGCAGCAGCCCCTGGACCGATCCTTCGGAAAATCGGCATTGGGTTAGAGCTTAGGGTTTAGCGGTTTAGGGCTCAGGGCTTCGGGGGCTTCTGGCTTGGGGGTTTAGGGGTTTAGTAAGTCTGCTCTGGAGACAGGATGGCGCGAAACTCATCGTTTGCTCGCTGCAGCTGCCGACGCCTCGATGTGTCTTATGCAGCTTAGGCTTCTGTATACAGATACAGTATCATGACATGAACGAAGGATTCTCGTACCTAAATTTTGTCAGAGCAGATCGCTCCATGTGGCCATATGTGTAAGCGAGCTGCATGCCTTTTCAGACATTCTGATCTTCAGGCCGTCGTTCGCTTCATGGTTTGGTGTTGTGTTGTAGCAAAGCCTGTGGCAGATCAGTTCAGTCTTTTGTTCTATTCTGGGCTGATGGAAGTCTGAACCATACTAACCCCGATCTCGAATCCCTGATCGGGTGGCCGTGGTTTACTGTACTTATCTAGAGACACGACAGTGACACAGGTATATAGATATAGACATACAGATATACAGGTGTACATAGCCAGAGAAAGGGAGAGTAACCTGCAGCATTGGAGTCTACTTAGAAACATCACGAAGTATGTCAACACATAAACCGGTAGACAAGCAAACATGCATATATGTATATAACATAGACAAACAAATCTAAGTTGATACCACACATGTATGTATAGATGCAGGTATTGATTCTAAATATCGGAAGGCTCTGGAGCATGAGCCTCAGT